CCATATGCATAGGTACATTCCCACGTCTACTACGGTAAGAACTGGGATAAACGCGCAAAGCAGCCAAAGGGAGGGCTCCAGAGAAAGAAACCAAACAACAACCAGACCCAAGCTCGACAAGCAGCAGCAGCAGGCCCGTGATGCACTGCGCAGGGGACACGTCAAGGGGAACCCGCAGCCGCGTAGCCGCTTCCTACAACGAAAGCTCGGAGCGCCGTATGACCCCTTTCCGGGTCGATCTTTCAAAATGTCCAGGCTAGAAAGGCGCGTCTGCGGCACAGCGGCGCGGGAAAGGGGGGGGGGGGGATAAACGACGTTAGAACGGTGACCATTCATGGGACGGGAACAGGCTGGGCTTGACGGACGACCAAGAGGATCGCCACCAACCGCGGACGTGCATGGTGAGGGAATCACCACACCTTTTTTGCTTTGCCTCAGCACGGGGAGCAGTCTAATCTCGGGCCGTGTTACGGTTTCCGGTCATGGTTATTACGGTTACCCTCCTCCTCATCATCCTCCCCTTCGAAGGAATGAGGAGACGTTTGAAAGACAGCACACGGGATTGGGAAAGCAATACAGCAGCGGGCGCAGAGGACGTTGGGCTTGGAATTTCACCACTGACAACGTGAACCGTTCAGCCCGCGCCGTCCGCCCGCTATCCGCCGTTGACGGGATGTGAAAGTCTCGTTGGCCCGGGTTCTTCTTTGGGGGTTGCTAACTTGCTGCTGCCGCGTCGCTTCGGCTTGTTGCCGTGTGGCTGCTGACTATTGGAACGTATGGAAATGCCACCACACAGACACACACGCGCCTTACATCTCCCGCCAATCACTCCTTACGTCGCCAGCCCTGTAAACGTTGCCATGACACTAAGGCTTCTAGACTCCAGGTTCGAAGCATGGAGTCATTGATTGTGGCGCCTGCGGCCGCGGTAATTGGGGACATGTAAGGGCGTTGGGATGGGACCTTTTGACAATCTAGGCTTTCTTCCCAAGACTGCCTCTGGTTGCCAACTGCCTAGGAGGCATGGCAGAGATTCGAAGAGGAACAACTAAACCAGAAACGATGGTAAAAGAAAGAGAGGTATGGATGGCATACGGGATACGGATGGAGGCCATCGGAATTCTTGGCCCCCACCCTCAACTTGAACGAGACCCCCCTTCCACTTCCTCTGAAAGACCGAGCCAGTTGGAGGCAGGGCATATTGGCAAAACAGGCAGGCAAGTAAAAGTGGATGAGGCTATATCCTGCGAATACCGCGGCCGGCAGTGAGACTTGTGACTGGAAAAGGCCAATGGGCCGAAACCCAGACGAGGTCGAAGGACCCTCTTGACGAGCGAAGATTTGCGAGCACGATCGCACCTTGTGGGCTGTCACATTTTTTTCTGCTCTCTGCTGGCCTTACAGGCCTGCAGATGACAGAAAATGGCTGATAGGGGGAGGGTGGAAGGTTGGAAGGTGGAAGTATAACTCCGTCCGGCTCTCTCGCGTGTCTGCGGGTGGTGGATTCTCTACTTCACCGCTGCATATCACGAGCCTCTCTGCGGAGCATCCATCCATCTTCATGTATCGAGTACGGAGTACACGCCCCTCTTGTGTGCTTGATCATCGCCAACGAGTGTCTCGTGCTGAGTGATTTTGCCTCTAGGGCTAACGACTCGAGTTTTGTCCTGAAGCATTTCAGCGGAGTCTATCATCGTATAAGGCAGGCTAAGCAGGAGGAGAAGGAGCGGCAGCAGCGATATAGGAGAGCAACGTGGATGCGTAATGAGATGTCTGCAGGAGGAGAGCGAAAAGAGGCGGGGACCGGACTTATGGTGGTTGACGTGCTGGTCACTTTTCCGACACACCCATGGCCATGCGTTGGTGATCACCCAAGTGATCTCTGGTACGGCAGCCACGGAGCGCATATGCGGCGTCTTCCATACGGATACTTCCATTTTGCCCCATTCCCTTTCTTCGTAGGTAAGAAGGAGGTGGTGTCAAGGATCTTCACAGAGATGGGGGGCCAAAATGCCTAGGCACAAGGTGCGAAGGGGGCCTCCTGCGGAGTAGACGCTCTCCGGCTCCTTTGGCTTTGTGGGCATCGCGCCATATTACCTGTGCCAAGCGGGAATGAACGTTAACTTCCTGTAGGAGGCGAGCCTTGGACCGTCGGGGTGCCACGATGCCTGGGTTCTTAGTGGGTGCCGACAGAGGGGAGCCCACGGGAGATCTCGAGGCGTGAGCCCACGAAGTCGGCCAACGAGGACGCGTTCTCCCCAATATACGAAAGGGTGGAGTGGGCAGCTTTGAACGCTAGACCGGCCGAGATCGTGTAGAGAGAATTGGGCGGGACAGAGTTGATGTCAGTACGCATGGATGGTACTGGGCTTACGAAGTTACGGCGAGTTGGTTTCATCTATCTGCTGGAATGAAGGTTGGATGAAGGGCTCGAAGGATGCTGATCGTCACTTGTTTCGTTCTTGGAAGAAGAAGAGTAACTTCCAGGAGATACCCAGACTTCACCCCTTCCCCCCTCCAAGTGGACTTTGTATGACAGCATGCGCGGTGGACGGCAGACTCCAGACTGCTGGATCCGCTCGGTCAGGTTGTGTTGGACCAGGAAGCCAGGACCATGTAAAGCCCATTATTCAGTTCCCTCGGAGGGTTTTTGTCACCGCGATGTATCTCGCCGTTCCCACCCACTGAACATGCTCATCTCCCCTCGTCAAATATTGAGTTTCCTTCGGTATTATGCCTTCGGGGAATCGGGAAGACGCCTGCGATTTGCAAGATCCTGGGAAATGATCCTCTGAATCGCGGCACCTCACAGCTTACCCCCCTGACAGTCCCACGATTTTCGATATGTATGCAAGCACAGCCTCGCTGCCTCTTTCTTGCTTGCCAGGGTAATATGGAGAGGGGAGCAGCAGCAGTACTCGGTACGCCGAATCGAGGTTGAGCTCGACTCGGAGGCCCTCCCGTTTGTGTCATGAAACCTGCCTCTGCGTCTCCTCTTCCTTTTCTCGGTCAATAGTTGTGATCGTATTTCTAGGTGGGTTGCGTAGTACGTATCGTGGACGCAACGCTTCTGCGAGCCCACAAACGGTCATGGAAAACGTGTCTCTGCTGGGATCACCCCTTTCTCTTTGAAATCCCGGGCTACTCGTCGAGTAGGGGGATGGCTGGATAGGATATGTGGACTGTGTGGACTGGGTTTTTCTTGATATGCATCCACTGAAGCTAAGGCAGTTCCCTGCGAATAGAGTTTACAGAGGCAGATACGTTGAGAGTTCGTTATGTGAGCCGTCTCCTCTTGGGATCTTTTTCTGCTCGCCCGTCACCATTTGACGTACGACTCCAATTTTTACCCAACCTTTGTCCGGTGTCCAAGATGCCTTGTTCCCAGTTGCTAGGAAGGAGGGCCCCAGATGCTCGGTACTGACGGAGCCTCGCCCGCGATGAACGACGTCAAGGTAATTATTCAGGACGGTGATCGGTGGGACTTGGCAGTTGAGACCCCAGTGCCGTGTAACGTCAAGCACACCGATGAGAGACGGCATCAGGGGGTGCGTTGTGTTTTTGCTTTTTGGATGGGGATGAAAAAGGCCAAGAGGGCAGGGGAAGAAGACCCAAGACCACGATGCAGTTGTCGATTTGGGGATGGGTTGATAGAGCCTAGAGGGGGGCCCCAGTATGCATGCTCTTCTGCTTTGGTCTCGAAGAGATGCTTCTCCCACTCGGAGCCGGTTTTTTGTCAGCAAGGACCATTGAGCAATATCCGGAACTCGCCCGACAATTCGGAACAGATGGACTCGTGCTGATGCTTCTGCTTCTGCTTGATGCTTGTGCTTGGTATGGAGTACTGATGCAGCGGTACTGGTAGTGCACCAGCCTCCGTTGAGTGTGCCTTGCCTCGCATATCGTACCCTCTCGATATTGAATGGGACCCTCGTGAGTTGCCCTTTCTTGCAAGCTGCATGTTTCCGTCTCAGCCCTCGGGCATTGACCCTTGAGTCGACCCAACCGCTCCGAGGGATGTCACACATTCAACCTGCGTCGTTGCCCATGAGTAGCGAGCCGCTGGTATAGAGTCGCAATATTGAGATACACCAGAAGCCCCGTTCGCCGGACGAGAAGCCCATTCCTGACGTTGTTATTGCTCTTTTTTTTTTGAGTCCGTCTTGGGTCAGATAGCTGTCAAAAAAAGCAAACCGGAACGCCGGTGTATTCTTTCGACTCTTAACAGAAAGCCGATATAGGGACCACATGCAGGGGTCCGGGGACCGGCTTAGCAGCAAAGGGCTCATTTCGCCAGTCCGCCTGCATTCCTGTTGACAGGGCTGGAGGTGAGGGGGATATCCCTTCTGAGAAATTCCCAAACGGTCGTCTAGCCTCAATGAATGGAGGCAGGGAAGATCCTTTTCTCGAGCCATGTGGCTTGCGAGTCATCAACTTTCCAACTCCTCTGAATTGTCGTATTGCGCTCCCCCGCAAGGCCCGCTTGCGGCCGACTCGTCGAGATGAGGCAGGGCCTCTGCTATGCGGATTTGCATGTCTGTCGGACGCGTATTTTTCATTGGGGGTATTCGTAACTTCGTAAGGAGTAGATCATTGATAACTGAAGGGGGAGGTACTTTTTGATGATATTGCACAGGGCGCAGGGCGGCAAATGCAGTAGCATGGAAGTCCGTCCGCCTCCCCGAGCCTGGACGGCCTGCAGACTTTGCCGGCAGTGGATGAAATTCCCATTGCTCTCGGGACGTGTAGATGGACCAACAACCATTCCCTTTTGACAGGCAAACAATACCGTACTTTACCGGACTTAATGTGTGATGCGAACCAATGGACCCATGGTCTCTGGACCGCTCGCCTTGGTACCGGTCTTCCTATCCCCGGCCGATGCGGCAAACTTTGACCGGGAGCAGCAGTAGCAGGAGCAGCAACGCCTCCGAGATGCAGAGACCGAGGTACGGATATCGTAGCTGGACCCGATCTATGAGACCATGGTGACATACGAGCTAAGCTCGCAGCGTGCTCCCTGTCTGTCTCCTTCCGGCTTGCGCGTTGAGCAGGATGGGGAAGAACCTATCCAAAGGATGACTGACCAGCGTTGCCGGGGTCTGTTCGGTGGTCTGGTGTTGCACTGCAGGCTGCCCGACAGCCCATCTTGCATCTTGGCTGTCGACGGGCTGCTGCTGCTGCTGCTGCTCACTCACTTGGTGGCTATAGCTCCTGGGGGGACGCAGCACCGAGGACGGCATAGAGGCACATGGGTGATGAAGCCTCGAGCTTCTTGATGACGGGCGCAGCGCCATTCGACGCGAGGGTTGGTTGTAGTTGAACGGTACAAGCGCGTGCGTGCCATTTGCTGGCTTTTCCATCAATCCCAGCAACGGCATTCCACGGTGAGAAGCATGTGCTGGTCATCGACGTGGCTTTCGTTGCATCTTGCTGCATCCTTCAGCCGCCTGCCACCCCCCATGTTCCCGTTCAACGGCAGCTTTGAATGAGACCCTCCCCCCAGCTCATTCTCGGTCGAGATCTGCCCCTGTGGCATGGGGGACACCAGTCAGCATGGCTCAGAAATTGAGAATTGACATGCTGTGAGCCTGTGACGGAGATTTGAACGCGTACAACAATTATGAAATGGAAATGAATAAAAGAGCCTAAAGATACAGTCAGGGGAAACCTCGAAAGGTGAGCCATTGTCGTTGGCGTTGCAGGGCTGCGAGACAAACTGTTCAAGAAAAAGCAAAATAAACAACGAGAAACATTATTGGACATCGCATCCCGGACATTGTCCAGATTGGGCAATCTCATCGCATTGACAGGTTTGCTGGGCGTTATTAATAGAAATTTGAGAGAAAAGTCCAGGCTTCTGAATCGTTCAACCCGCAGCGCCCGTTGCGTGAACATGGGAGAAAAGACAAAAAGCAGTAAAAGAAGAACATTTGCAGTCAGACCAAATGATGGCGGTTTCAAAATCATGATTCTGTAAGGGCGAAAGGTTATCATTAGTCTGGAGGAAGAGACAACATGTCGTCGACTGGAATGTTTTCTGTCCACCAAGCGACGTTGGAGAGATGAGCGGCTAGGCTCTAGTAGGGAGAGGACTGGGGGTGCCTCATCGAGGAGGTGTGTGTCTGTGTGTCACTGAGCTACTCAAAGTGTGGCTGGTGCATTTTGTTTCCCAAACCCAAAAGAGAAGAGCCCCCCAAAGCCCAAAGCCCCAGGGGCAAGGCGGAAGCACGAGAGGAAGACTAACGGCCAGAGTCAGGCCATGATGACGCCTGGAGGCTTTGAACGAGATTTAAACAAGCACAGCCAGACGGCGGAAGAATAAGAAAACGGTAAAGAGTGACAGCGCCGCAGCGCCCATCCCGACCCTACGTGCTCGTGCGTGCCTACTTTGACGTCCTGATGGGCGATCTCTTGAAGGGGTGGGAGACGGGGCGTGGGAGTGCTGCCAGGGGCGATTTGCAGTTCAGCGTTCTCGACTGGCCTAGAAACCCTGGTAAGGAGGAGAAAAGCCAAGGAGGATTCGTCGACGAGGGCCACAGATCTGGTAATCCAATCCCGTAGTGGAGAGAAGAGAGAGAGAGCGAGAGACAAAGATGGGTAGATGCAGATGGCCAGAATCGGCAACTTGGTTGGGTCAGTAGTCAGCCGACGGGCGAGAGATAGAGAACACAACATCCAGAGCAGTTCCAAACTTCCAAAGAGGCCTGCGAGATGGGCAGCAAAAGCGCCCCTAGTCAACGAATGATCTTGATCCATCTCTTCTCAACAAGGGGCCCTACTTTTTCCTCTAGCGTGATGGGTAAAGAACGGGTTTCCGGGTATCCAAGCAAGACTAGCCAGCCCATTCGACCACGGTTCTTTAATGCTCATCTAGCACGCTTTCAGAAGAGGTTGCATCTCTTCGCGTGGTGGTTCTTCTCGGGTCGTCCAGTCAAGAAAGAGTGTGTTGGCAGGGCAGGGGAAATCCTGGTTGATCGTCGCGGAGGCTGGAGATCACAGGATTGTCCCGTGGGCCTCTGCTTTTCTGTTCTATCCCGTACCCAAGTGCCAGGTCTTCTTCACACCCCTTGGATCCGGCCGTGTGCGTAGGGAACTTTCGGGAGGATTCGAGAGAGGCGTCCAATGGGATGACCCACCGGGAAGAGGGAAGGGAAGCAGAGAACACGGTGCTGGGAGGGAGGGGAAGGGGGGGGCATGTAGATGAAGCAGGGTAGGTTTACCTACTGTGCCGTCTATTCACTATCATCTGGAAAGGTTCATGTCGGTTCAATTTAGGATCAATTGAATTTCATTCGAGAGAACGTAGGCTGCAGTAGATACCTGGGAAAACCAAGCTACAGCTCCTGTAGTCGGAAGTTTGTGTGATGTGGCTTTGGGAGAGCGGCGGTTCAATTTCTCTAAATCTCTCAGACTAAGGGACGCCGTAGATGATGCCCGGCCGCCACAGCTCTAGCCGAAACTCTCGGTTAGCCGTCTTTCCAATCCGCACAAATCTGACGCTTCTTTTGGGGCCGAAGCGAGATCTAATCGAGATTGTCCGCGTCAGTCGCAGGAGGCACTAGCCAGCTTATTAAGTTACGAGAGTTGAATTACCAAATCTCTCGAGATGGGCCATCTTCAATGCTGCCAGCTTGCCATGGGCAGAAGCCTCGGCCCTCAGGGCTTACGATGGTAGGAGCTGGCTCCGATTGCGAATTGCCAATGGACTTATTCCCAAGCGGCCGTCGTTTCTCGGGGCATGGGGAGCAAGCTCTGGCCTGTGCTTGTTCTTCCCATCTTAATCTTCCCCCACTCTCGGAAATCTCAATGTGGTCGAAGGACTGGGCAAGTAGGGGGATCCAGGGGTGGTTTGTCGTTCCATAGATGTTCTAGGGGCTTAGCCAAAGGAGATAAGTTGCTTTGATCGAGCGTTGAAAGCGAAGAGTCTCGACTCTGAACAACAGGAAATGATTTACGGGGCGAGGCCGGGCGACGAACAGTAGGATAAACTAGAGCCTGTTTCTGCAATTGAAGACACATTTCTCGTGGTCTTCAAAATGTTTTGCTATGTTTGTTTGAGGTTTGAGCCTCATTTCCCCTTCAGCTAGTGGCATTCTCTCCTTCACGCCGTTTCCGTCATAATTCTCTCGTTTGGAACTCTCGACTCTGGTTGAGCGATTAAGAAAGTGTGAAGATGGATGGTGATAGTGGAGCCAGCACAACAGACTTTGGGACCGGTTCTCAAAAAGCAAGCTGATGGGATGAGAGCCAAGGGTTGGGCTTGGGCGGATGGCCCCCCCTGTGCTGATCGACAGATCCTCTCGACGCCCTCGTCCACGTCTGGGTCCCGCCATCCCAATCAGCGTCCCTGCCGCACTTGAAAGGAACCTGCCGCGGAGAGAGGCCAGAGAAGGATCTGGTCACGCCCGTTGCACCGGTACCAGCCATGGGGTTCATTGGCCCAGACACGCGCTGGCGGCGGGCGACATCATCGATCCCATTATACTTATTACACTTTCCAGTACAGGGTCACAGGGCCCCTTGGGACGTTAGTGTAGGCAACGATTTGCTAGTATCTCGAAATCAAAGTTTCGAGACACCTTCATACGAGGGACCAGATTTGACTTTAGGTGGTAGTAATAGAGACGGCGTCCTGCACCTAGGGTTTATGTTCGCGAACAGTTGCTCCGATTCCGAGCACTTCGGAAACTACCGCCCTCGTCGTCGTTAAAAAAGTGCCGAGTGGCTTTGCTGCAAACGAGGCTGCCGGCGTGTTACTACGACGAAACCTACTAGAATAGTGCGCGACGCCCAGGCGGTCGGCAGTTGCGTAGTGTCTTTACAGCTCGTGTCCGCCATGAGTGATTAGCATGTTGGCCATGTGCTGCAGGGCTGGAATTTTTGTGTTTGTGATCACTGGTGAGACTTTACATAATGATTCTGGAGCTACTGCGGCGCGAGTTGATGTGCTTCACTGCTCTTATGTTCGAATACGGATATATGTGTGTGATGGGGGGCAAAGTATCAAGAAACATGACGCAAACAGGATTGAGCCTTGTCTTACTGCCATTCGCCTCTTCCCAGCCATCAGTTTATACTTACATACGGATACACAGTACATCTTGGCCCGTTCGTTTCTGCACAAACTGACCCTTCTCACCCCTAGTGAATGAGCGGGTCGGTGATGGATGATCTGCAATTGGCAATGAAAAAGCAGGTAGGGGCCGAGGAATCGGATTCGCGACCGGCATTGAATTGTCCTTGAGGGCTGAAGCACAACCCGTACCAAAACACACACATCGGTCGGCTGCCCGTTCCGTGACACCGCTCGTGCTTCAGGGACGATCTTGTATGCGCCAAGCAGCGCACATGGCACATTATGAGTTGCAAGACAGGCAGCTGCCATTGTTTGACTTTAGAGTTGATTGATGATTGACAGCAGATGGTATCCGGATGACATTTCCTCCGCAGGAGCCAAGTGTTCGCGGGGTTGGTATCCCAAACATTGATTTGGCGGATGAGACTTGAGAACGCGTACGTATACTAGATAATGAAGATGATGATGATAATAACAACAACAACAACAACAATAATAATCATGGCGGTGATGTATGTAGGCGGTGACACCCCATGCTCTGTTATGGATGAGGAGGTCCTGCGGCCCCCATCGTCGACATCGACAACAATACATACGCCCAATGGAGTGAGAATCGCCTCATGTATCCACGACCGTCGAATTGTCCTGGAATTCTCCGGATGATCTTGCAAGTTGCAATTGAAGACTCACGACCGGGGGTTGCCCAGGAGGACGCAGTGCCGGCTGCAACGACATCATCGGCCGTCATGGTTGGATCAACTTCCCGTCCGGGTGCGTGGGTTTTTCTTCGAGATCGGCACGACGGTACCCAGCCAGAGGTAGCGGCGCCGCGGCAGACAACGTGCTCAACCTGCGCTGCTGCTGACCAAGGTTTACCAAGAGAGTGTTTTTGGGACAATACCCGAGGCACTCGAAGACGATCGCCGCGCGGGCACCGCGTTAGTGCCCTTCGGTTAGAGGTAGTCTTGGACAAGGGGGGTGGGTTGATGGTCGAGGGGGAACCAGCCCAGCCCAAGGTCCAGCCCTTCCCGGAGATTGGTCGGTGACAGGTGAGAGCTGGAAGACAAGATTGGCCCGGGCCCATTGTTAAAGGCCAATGTCTAAAGGCGAATTACCTACCTAGAGGGGCACAGTTGATCTCATTCACAGATCTGCTGGCGTGGATGATGACCGCTCGTACAAGTTACATCGGGGCGAGCTGTACCGTGGTCCGAGTCC